TTGCTTCGCTCGGGTCGGAAAGCGGCTTGTCCTTATAAGGGTCACGCCCGGGCCTCATCTAGGCTCCAGCTTCTGGTGACACCTCCCGGGGTTCCCTCCTGTCCCGTCCAGGGAGTCGTGCCCTCCAACGGTTGGAAGGACGGGGAGGAGACGGGAGACACGGCCTAGCGCGGGGAAGGCAGCCCGGCTTACGGCTCCTTGGTCCCTGGTGACTGGGCCTTGGCCTCCGCCGTCCGTGGGCCACGGCTGCACTGTCGCCCTGTTTCGGGTGGGGGCTGCCTCTCTCTCTCTCTCTCTCTCTCTCTCTCTCTCTCTCTCTCTCTCTGTCCTTTACACACTCCCTGAAACCTCACGGTCTCGTAGGCCCTATCCTGGGACTTCAGCGAGCCGCACGCATCCGATCCGACGCGTCGGTGAGGTCGCCGCCGAACTGTCGCCGTTTCAGAATAAATCGATTATTGGAACGATTTCAGATTCACAGAAGAATCGCGGAGACGGTACGAGGGACTTGCACGGCCTCCCACCCTGCGGCCCCGAGGCAGACCCCGCGTCTGGCCGGGCGCGTCTGTCCGCGACGGTCTCGAGCCCTAGGAGGCTGTGGCCGGTGGGCGACTTGCTCACCCACGGTCACCCAGTAAGTCAGCGGCTGGCGGAGTGTCGTGGTTCAGGAGGCCGGTGAGCTCCGGCTTTCTGCCAGGTGCAGCGATGCAAACACGGCAGACGTTCGTTTCCAAGGTGTGCTTTCCACGGTCCGGGTTTCTTTTAAAGAGCAGTTCCTTCCGGATTTATCTTTAAATGATCACCTTTGCTTTGGAGGAGCAGATGAAGATTTAGTCCGTGTCTTAGGGTCGCCTGCCAGCATCAGGCTGGCGGACGCTCCTTCCGGAAGAGGCCTGCGCGTGGAAACGCCTGCTTGTGTCCAAGCTGCAGCCGCAGGGCAACTAATGAGCATGTGCTAAAGGGTTTAACAGGTTCCCGCAGCTTTCCCCGCCTTACAGCCCGCTTCCCCATATTGGGAATAAATGAACCCTGCGGCCAAAGCCCAGCCTTTGCCACCCAGCCTCATGCACTCTGCCAGCAGCTACGTCTGGATCATATACGGGGCACGGCCAGGGGCCTCCTATCCTTCCAGCGGAGGGGCTGGCAAAGGAGGCAGTGAACCCAGGGCAGGAGCTGGGGGTAGGGGGGTGCGTGCAGTGTTGCTCCCCGCGGAGGTGCTCTGCAATGAGCCAGGTAAAAAGTAGGTGGACCAACCAGCACGTTCAAAGCCACCAAGGCGCGAAACAGCGGGGGAACCTCGCCCGGAGGGTACCTGGACGTACCTGGAGCGCCGGGGGTCGGGGCAGGCCGGGGTCACTCAGATGGTTCTCACAGGCAGCGCGGGCCTCACCCGTGAGCCCCCACACCGCACCTATGGGGGGACTACGGGGACCAGACCCGGGAGACTGTGCTGCTGTTTCGGATTTGGGGGGGGGATGTCTTGAAATTCATTTCTTCCAAAGACCCAGGATGACCGACACGGGCAGGGGGACAACGGTCATGAGGGACGCACTAGACACTCGAAGGAAAAGTCGCGAACGGGCTATGTGAGTTCAGACATGCATACGGACCTTTTCAAGCACAGACATTTTTACAGGCTGGTATTTGCTCCTAACACGTGTTTTCGGAGACGGGCACTGGCCCGTGAGTGGATAAACTTGGTCGCTGAGCCTATGTGCTAAGCCGAGCTTGACGGCGGACGAGCCGCCCAACATCCGTCAAGGCTGTTGTCCCGCTGTTTAGCCGAGAGCGCGCCCAACTCGGCTCGGAAAAGCCGTGGGCACGTCCTGCAGGGAAAGCATTGGAGGCTAAACTAAACTTCACTTTTTTTCTTTTTTTAAAAAAATATTTTATTTATTTATTCATGAGAGACACAGAGAGAGGGGGGGGCAGAGACATAGGCAGAGGGAGAAGCAGGCTCCATGCAGGGAGCCCGATGTGGGACTTGATCCCGGGTCTCCAGGGTCACACCCTGGGCCAAAGGCGGCGCTAACCATCGAGCCACCGGGGCTGCCCTAAATTTCATTTTCATTTTCAATGTCTTTGTGAGACCTGCTTCCTTCATGAAGACCTCCTGTAGTATCACTTCCAAACATCCTCCCCTTTTTGGGATTTCCGTCAAAATAAGGTTAGACGTGGCTCAACGGGGTTTAGGCCAACGATCAGGAGGGGCTGCTAGCATCGCCGGATCATCACACGAAAGGAAGCTCCCCCAGTGGCTCGTAGGCCCATGGACGATTCAGAACCATTGTGCTAGAGAATCGAGCCAAAAAAACGGAGGGCGGCGCGTGCACGTGGGTGCAGCGAGGAGGCTGAGCTGCTGTGTCATCTCCCGCCCCCCCCCCCGCTCCCTCCGGAGCCCTGATGCCCCCTGGACGGGACGTCTACTGAGCACTGAGGTCGTAAGCACCGTTTTAGCAACAATTGCAATGGCAGCACCTAGCCCTGCACCGTCCTCACCGTGCACCGGAGCTGAGCGCTCACCTGGAGGACTCCACCCTCGGGACGGTCGCGCGTGAGGCATCGGTGCCGCGTGCTGACGAAGCAGCTACGTGTGGTTGACTGATGGAACGAAGGGTACAAGTGACCAGGGCCGGCTTCCGAGGTCTGCCCCAGGGTGCATGCCCTCAACCGACGGCTGCTCCACGTGCGCGACCCCACTCCGTCTTCACATCGACCTTTTTCTTCAAAGAGAGGTGTGAGCCACCGTGTTTTTACAGGCGAAGACATTGAGGGTGAGGGAGGTTGCGACCGGCCCAAGGCCGCTTAGCCAGCGAGGAGCGGGTCGGTGTAACCTGCCGGCAGAGCGCGCCCCTCCCTCCACGCGGGGGCTCGGGCAGCTCGTTCCACAAGTCGCCTCCAGAAGCCGCTTGGATCACAGGAGGAGGTGGCCCCTGGGGGTCCCCGAAGGACAGGAGATGCGAGGACACGGTGGAGGTTGCGGAACCTCCCGAGGCAATCGGGGCTTGGCAGAGGGTGGAGCCACCGAGCCGGTCCCCCGCCGCACCCCCCCTCCAGCTCACAACAGGCCCTTGGCTGCAGACTCTTGTTTCGCGTCTGCAGGGACGCTGGCTGCCGGGGTGACGGCCCACGGGCCCCTCCTGGGCCGGGGGTCCCGACACTTGCTGCCCCAGCCAGGGGGCCTGGAGGACCACAGGAGGCAGGCCTCTTGCCGCGTTACCGTTGGCAGACACCTGGGTGACGGGAACGGAAGAGCCTGCCAGCCGGGGGAACCCCAACCCCGGGGGCCTCCGTGCACGGGCGCTTCCCGATTGAGCCCCGCGTATCTTTGATGGACGGTAAGTGGGACTTTCCCAGAACGTGACAGCGTGACGCTTGGAAGGGCTTAAGGTCCGTGAGGGCTCCTCACTGCCTGACGTCGTCGTCATTTTGCCAAAATAATTAACGGGGTTTCTAACGAGGGGCGGGATCACTTTATCCGTCCTTAAATGCGTCGTCCCGAAGATGAGCGACGACCTTAACCTTATCCCTACATTTAAGAAGGAGGACCCTACGGGGAGAGAAACCATGACTAGTTCATTCTAACCACTCACTGAATCGATCTGCGGTTGAGGAGCCCGGAGGACACACTCCCCAGCACAGGGCAGCCCTGGGCTCCCGAGGGGCGGGTGACGGGGGACGGGCCCGGAGCTGCTCCGGATGGCGGGGGAGGCCAGCGCCCCGACCCTGACAGCCACCTGCCATGGGCCCCGCTGCGCGGCAGGGACCCCGGGGGTCACCGGCCTGGGGCCTCCGGGATCCCGGGAGCGAGGACAACGCACGGCGGGGCCCCGACCGCGGCCACTGCTACTGGGTGAAGGCGAGCTCAGGCGCAGCTCCCGCCCGCATCGCCTTCCCTTCAGAAAAGATGAGGCGCTTTAAGATCGGCGCCGGGGCAGGGGATCTAACTTTACAGACGCGCCGCACTTTCTCCTTTTTAAAGATTTACCTACTTGGCAGACACACGGAGGGGAGGGGGCCCGGGCAGGGGCGGGGGCAGGGCGAGGAGGGCACCGGCCTGCACACGCACGGAGACCTACGTGGACGCGAACCCAGACCCGAAGTCGGACCCGAACCAAAGGCAGACGCTCAACCCACGGAGCCCCGGGGCCTGACGTCGCTGCACCTTCCCTGTATTTTCAACGCTGAGCTTCCGAATCCGCCGATAACTCCTTAGGGAGCGGGCGCCGGCGCCCACGGCAGCCCTGGTGTTTGCAGAGCCCATGCCCATGCCCACCCCGGCATTTGCAGAGCCTGCACCCACCCGGTGTCACGGGCTGAGGAGCTGGGCTTCGGGACTCCTGCGGCCTCGTCTACACCAGGATGGGGGCAGGGCGAGGGCCGGGGTCGGGGTCCTGGCTGCAGGCTCCACCCCAGTCCCCGTCCCCACACCCGCCTGCAGACCGCGTCGGCTCCCGGTGCCTGCTCCTCGGGTTCGCCACCAAGCTGCGGGCCCGTCCAGCGCGCTGCCAGCTCCCCCAGCGGCCCCCAGGTCCCCCTGCCAGCAGACCTGCCCTCCTCTGGAGCCCAACAGGTGACACCCTCCCTTCCCAGGGATAGTGAGCCCGTCTCACCTGATCCTGAGATAGGCCGCAGGTCTGAGCACCTGCACCCGCCCCCACCTGCTCTCCCACCAGCACCCCGCCAGCTCACCTGCCCACTCCCCCATCCAGCTCCCTGCCCCCCCAACACCCCCCAGTGCCCCCCCATCAGCGGACCTGCCCTCTGCCAGAGCCAGACAGGTGACACCCTCTGCTCCCCAGGGCAGCGAGCCCGTCTCACCTGATCCTGAGATAGGCCGCAGCTCCGAGCACCTGCACCCACCCCCAGCACCCCCAGCTCCCCCACCAGCACCCCCAGCACCCTCAGCACCCCTCAGCTCCCCCCATCAGCGGACCTGCCCCCCGCTGGAGCCCGACAAGTGACAGCCTCTGCTCCCCAGGGCAGCGAGCCCGTCTCACCTGATCCTGAGGTAGGCGGCAGCTCCGAGCACCAGCAGCAGCACAGCGATGACTGTCACCGTGACGGCGGCGATGCTGCCTGTGGGGAGGACGGCACGGGGGGCGGGGGTCAGCTCAGTGTGCAGGGAGGTCACGGCCGCGCCAACCCGGGGCCTCAGCCCTGTCGCCAGGCCCCGTCCCGCAGCGACAGGTGCCGGCCTGGAGCCTCGGCTGCCGGAGCACGGCCAGCAGCCCGCAGGGGGTCCCACCGAGCTGCTGTCCCCGGGCTGGGTCACAGGCTCTGGCTCCTCTTTGTACGACCGGGAGGCCCGGGAGCCTTGGGGCGCTTAGGGGCCGCCGCGGGGCGATGCGCGGTTCCTCTGCGCGCTCTGGGCATCGTCCCGGCAGGAGATGTGCTGCTCCTAACGCGTTTTTAAGACCTTTTTGGGAAGGCTGTGGAGTCTTCACCCTTGAAATGTGAATTGGATCTTGTGGAGCAAAAGGTCAAGTTTGGTGCAAAAATAAGGTCCAGTCTGAGAGGTCACGCTGTGTTCTGTGTGTGGCAATAACCAGGTGTGACGATGAAGTGACACGTGGTTGAAATCTGGCTGCAAAGGCCACTATTGGGGGCAGTTGAAAAGCCTTTGAGCGCGGAAACCCCGAGAACGGCCGCTCTGCTCCCAGAGGTCAGTCCCGGGAAGCGCAGGACCCGGCGAGCTTCGCACTAACAATGTGCACACCGCAGCTTTGCCTCACCTTCCCCCAAATGCAAAGGACCAAGGGGGCTCCCGTCCCCTAACCCTGGACGTGACTTTTCCGGGACTCAAGCTGCTGTTAGGGACCCCAGGTGCCCTCTCAGGCCCCCGGGACTCTGTTTACTCTTTCAGCAAATGAGCAGGCCCCGTAACCGCTGGAAGGAGCGTCAGAGACCTGCAGTCCGATTCCGTGGGCTCACGTGCGGCTCCGTCACCAGCGGTGCCCACGTCGGGGTTCTTTACCTAACGGACCCGGCGCGCTCCCTGCAGCAACCGGGAAGGGGGAGCTGCCCCGGGGCCCCCCTGCCGGGCCCTGCGTCCCCAGGACCGGATCTGCCCCATCTTTGGAGATTTATCGCTCAAAGCTTTGCCACCCGTCCTCGTGTTCCCTTCCCTCCGCTGTGAACAGCCTGTGCGTATCGTCCTCAGTGGCTCTCCCGCCGAGGCGTCCACTGACGGGCCGGCACGGCGGGTGCACTAGTCGCCTCCTTCTCCCTCCTGCCAAGGCTGAGCGGTGACCCCGAAGGCTCCGACGCCCGGGCGGGACCAGCCGAGGACACTCACGCTCAGACCCGCTTGCGGAAACCCCCGCTCCCCTCCCGACGGGCCCGTCTAAGCGTCGCTTTCCAAGGTCAATCAGGCGGTTCCCCAACGCGGGTGCTGCTCTCCTTCAAGAAATGGCAAGTGTCGCAGTGGCCGCTGCCCGTCTGCGCGGCCCCCCAGGTGCCCGTCCCCAGTGGGCTCCCCAGGGCGCTTGGGGCACCCTGCACAGGGCCGGCGCTGCCACAGGAGCCCTGGAGCGTGGGCTCGGGCGGCTGTGCCTGGACGTCCAGAAGCTCCTCTGAACCACCCGCCGCCAGGTGCCGGCCAGCGCAGCAGGGCCCTGGGCCCCGGGGGCCTCGAGTGCGGGGCCTGCGCCCACCCAGGAAGCTCGCCCTGGGAAGTCCACACCCGGGGCCTCATGCTCCAGGCTCGCAGGCGCGGCCGAGCCCACGCGGGCACAGTCCACGGTAACGGGGAGGGCTTCATTTCCTCCTTGTGGAAACAAATGTCATTTCCCCCGAGTTCTGTTTAAGCTAAACTGGGACTCCCCTTCTCCCCTCCTTACTCTTTTTTCAAGGAGGGGCAGGGAGAGCGAGAGAGGAAGAGAGAGCGAGAGAGGAAGGTGCAGCCGGGGCGGGGGAGGCTTTGCCCCGTGGGGAGGGTCGGACACTCGGTGGGCAGGGCACGTGGGGGGGCTGGTGTTTAAGGTCCCCCCCCCCGTGGGATCCACCCACCAGGGGGGCCGGGTGAGGCTCTGGCCCAAATGGCCGGGGCCTGGGGGAGTTAGAGACGCTGGAGGAGACGTATGTGTGCTTTACGGGGGGACACGCGGGACACTCCATGCCCAGCACACCGCCGGGCCCACATGTCCTGCTCGGCCGCGGGTGCTGAGGTCCCCGCCGAGAGCCCCTGGACGGCTGGGCCCCGGGAGGCCGGGGCTTCTTGGGGCGCCGCGGCTCGGGAGCGAGGGGAGAGCCCTCTGATGGCTTTCCGGACGCCCCCCCCCGCACCCTCCCGACGTGTCCATCTCAGACCCCCCCCCCGCCCCAGGGCCTGCCCTAACACCTGCTCCTAGGGCCCTCCCACGGAGGTCCAAGCTCTGCAGCACCTGTTAGTGGTCCCCAGGGATGATGGACTCGGGGGGGGGGGTTACTTAGGGGATAAATGCAGGAATCGAGTCAGACGACATCCCCGCCGTAGCAGGCGGTGCTCCTGGCCAGAGGTCATCACTTGTCCTGCGCCCGCGTCGTCCGGGACCGAAGAGGCCACCACCTTAAGGGGCCTCGCCCCCCTCACCTGCCCTCACACAGCAGGCCCATCCCTTTTCCAGCAGTTGCTGGTTGTTCAGGGACACAGGTCTTCACTGTCCCACCTCCCCCCGCACGGCTTGACCTACGGGGCCCCCCTGCCTTCGTGGCCTTAGCAGGAGCCCCACCTCCGGTGCGCCTCTGGGGACTCTTCTCTGGACCCGTGTTCTTTCCCCCACTTTCCACATGAAGGAGACGTCTCACTTGGAGAACACGGCGCTGCGGGGGGTGGGCCTGCAGGACCCCCCCCCAGGACAGAGCTCTCCCGGGCCTTCTGAAGGAGCTCTGAGGTACAGGAGCCCGGCTCACCCCTGGGATCCCGGGTACAGGAGCCCGGCTCACCCCTCGGATCCAGGCTCACCCCCCTCGGATACGGGCTCACCCCCCTCGGATCTCGGGTACAGGAGCCCGGCTCACCCCCTCGGATCCCGGGTACAGGAGCCCGGCTCACCCCTCGGATCCAGGCTCACCCCCCTCAAATCCTGGCTCACCCGCCTCAGATCCCGGGTACAGGAGCCCGGCTCACCCCTGGGATCCCGGGTACAGGAGCCCGGCTCACCCCTCGGATCCAGGCTCATCCCCCTCGGATACGGGCTCACCCCCCTCGGATCTCGGGTACAGGAGCCCGGCTCACCCCCTCGGGTCTCGGGTAGAGGAGCCCGGCTCACCCCCCTCGGATCCCAGCTAACCCCACGAGCTTCTCCTGAACGAGCTGCCTGGGCTCCCCGGAGCCAGGATGGTGCAGGGCCCGGAGCAGCAGTGGTCGGGGCTCCCCGGTTTCACTACCCGGTGGCAGAGACAGTGTCAGGCTCCGGGGCCACCCAGCAGAGCGTAGGACCGGATGGAGGATAGGTAAGCGGTTAAGGTGGGAGGTGGGTGGCACCCGATTCTGTATCTCTGCCTCTAATTTGGGGCGTGTCTATAAACGTTGGGATCTTGAGGGTAAAGCTGTTCTCTGAAGGATGGGCCAGGCTTGAACAGGCAGCAATGAAGGTGTGAGGCTGAGCCAGGCAGACGGAGGACACACACCTAACGTTTCCCGGACTGGATGCTCAGCACTTGAGCCTGGAGACGGAAGCTCCTCTGCAGGCGTCCTCATCTAACGCCGAGGCGCTCCTCATCCTCTCCACCTCACAGGAGGGATTCTCGGGGTCATTCACTCCGGGTCACTCAACCAAGACCACAGTCTGTATAAAAGGAGGTCATGGAAATCAGTGGGAACCGCGGAACGGTTGGGTATTGAGGACGGCACCATGGAGTGTTCTCAAAGCCACCCACGCTGTTTGGAGACACCGTGACCGTGTGCGGGGTGGAGACCATGGACGTGTCCGGGCGGATGATGATTCACAAGAATCTCCTCAAGTCCAGTCTTCTCTTGGAACTAACTCATCGGCAGTGACGTCTGTCCATCTTGAGCCCTTTTGTAGACGTCCGCCGCTAGCGTGGCACAATGTAGGCGACTTATTCCAGTATTTAGCTAACACTGACACGTGCAGCTATGGGTAGCTATGGGCTTGCACGCACGGTACAGACAAAGTACGTTCTTACACTAGCGGTTTTATGTGAGCACACTCATGACTTGGCTCTCCCTCTGGGCTGAAAGTCCCTCAAGTCCAGGGATACCAAATACACTTCTTCATTTGTCTAGGCCCAAAGTAAGAAATTCACAGAGCTACGGTTTCTTCCGAAAGTGTAGCGATTTTTAGAATTGGGCTTTATTCGTAGTTCTGATGCAAATCTGGAGCTCCTTTATGAGGCATACAGCTTGCGTGCAAACAGGCTACAGAAATGTTCCTAATTAGCAAAACCTAAATTTGCCTCAGTAAGTTAGTCGTCCTCCCCACTGTCCCATATCCCCAGATCTTTAAATCATTAGGGTATTGCTTACTCGTTCCTTTACACAGCGTGGCAGGGGTCAACTTTATGACACTGAGTCAAACATTACCACAACTGGCACCCTTTATTTCAAGCCTATATGCTTGTTTAAATGCCAGTTCATGGGCGGAATTGGTTAGTGGGCAGATCAGGGATTCAAATTTTGGGGCAGGATCCCGCATTCCTATCCTTTTCCTCTTCTTGTAATCAGAAGACCTGGTTTGGGGACTGGCTTCACTTATATTTTTTTTTGATTTTTTATTTTTTTGGCTTCACTTTTATCTAAGCGTTTCACCTACTTCGGTAGCATATGGTTAAAGATGTGCACTGGAAATATTAATCTCTTTAAAGATGGTACTGGAAACATGAACATTGGCTAACATGAATCTTAATCAAGCAAGTGCTGGCTTTCCCTTCCCCATGTCCCTCTCATGTGGGCATAGCAGCCATAGTTCAAGGACTCGGGGAGCTCAGGTTTGCAGTGAGCACGACCCAGGGCATAGTCCCGGGTTATCACGGTTTTAAAGTTTCTTCAATGCACTTACAATGACAGTCTTTCCCGACACAAAGGAAGCCTCTTTCCCACCTGGAATTTGTTCAAACTATGAGGTCGGGTCCCC